GAAACTCACAAAATTCTTGTAAGTACCGTGCTGATTGTGCCACTGGAGCTCCGTGAAACTCACAAAATTCTTGATATCTGTGTGGCAAAAGCTGTGCCACTGGAGCTCCGTGAAACTCACAAAATTCTTGATATCTGTGTGGCAAAAGCTGTTGAATGCCCTCCACCTCGGACCACAGCCAGGCTCCTTGATCTGCTGGTTGGGGAGTGTCTGAAAGTGACATGCATCGATCCTAGTCCATCTGTGATCACCTGCAGACAATGAGCCCTTTGGCAAAATGCCACAGCTCTTAAGAGGTTCTGACTGAGAGCTTAGAGCTTCTTGCCACAAAGGAAGGGAAGAAATACGCAATGCCTACACTGAGCTGAATGACTCCAGGCGGCTCTGGCAGCTTTTCAAAGAACAGGCCGAGGCTGGTGATAATGAGGCCATGTCCAAAGATGAAAAATTCTGCACTGCCCTGGAATACGGGGCACAGCTGGCTGGGGCATGGGCACCCACCAAGTTACCATGTGTCTCACAGATTCCAATAACATCAAGGAAGTACTCCTGTTTCCTGCCATGAAACCTGAAGTCATGAAGGAAAATGTAGCAACTGCTGATACACTGGATAGCACAACAGCTGGCACTTCCGTCTAGAAAATAACTGCAAGTCACAGAACTCAGACATCTTTGCACTTCTGCAAAAGATCAAGGACCGCAAGGGAATTCTTATGTTGTTATCCATTTCACTGTGCAGTTCAGTCACCAGGAGAAAAGGAATTAAGAATTCCTCTTTTACTCCTTGTTACCAAAGGAACCATTTATCTCTTAAAAAAAAAAAAAAATTAGCCGAAACCGGTTTGGCTCAGTGGATAGAGTGTCAGCCTGCGGACTGAAAGGTCCCAGGTTCGATTCCGGTCAAGGGCATGTACCTGGGTTGCGGGCACATCCCCAGTAGGAGATGTGCAGGAGGCAGCTGATCGATGTTTCTCTCTCATCGATGTTTCTAACTCTCTATCTCTCTCCCTTTCTCTCTGTAAAAAATCAATAAAATATATTTTAAAAATAAAAATAAAAAATCAGCCCGGACAGTGTTCCTCAGTGGTTGAGCATCGACCCATGAAACAAGAAGTCACTGATTTGATTCCCAGTCAGGGCAGATACCTGGATTGCTGGCTCGATCCCAGTAGGGGGCCTGCAGGAGGCAGCCAATTGATGTTTCTCTCTCATCGATGTTTCTATTTCTCTATCCCTCTCCCTTCCTCTTTAAAATCAATAAAAACATACTTTTTTATAAATCAAAAATGAAGTATAGTCTCTAAACAAGAAAGGCTTAATTGAACAAAATATACTTTCCCCTTTGCTAGGTTTGTGTTCACTCACAATTAACTCAAACTTAGAGACCTCAGTTGAGTCAGAAAGGTGATATTAAGTATATTACACAGTATACCAGAAAGTTTATATATTTTAACTGAGGTACTTTATGGTAAATGGTGTCTAATTCACTGTAGAAAATACATCTATATTTAATAACTAAGAAAGGCAAACCCTGGTGCAGAGGGAGCTGGCCTTGCTTTCTTTGTTAAGGCGTCTTATCCTGCTGAAGAGAGAAATGCCACACCCCTTTATCAAAGTGACCACGACGCACCAAGGCATTTATAAGGGGATTTTGTAACCATAGCTCTAAAAATAGAGTTCCAAATCATAACAGTGACCAATATTCCCCTCTTCTTACTAATATCACTGACTGGGGCTTCTCACAAATTACCTTTAGCTCCACTACATTGTTTTTGCCTTCTAGAAAATGACTATGATTACTGATGACCAAATAAAGTTTACCTCCTCACAGCATTCCATACAGAAAAAGGTCTTGCTTCCGTAATAGCAATTAAATCATCTAACACAAGTCAAGATCTTGTTAAAAGTCCTTTTGAACATGCTGATATTGTACCTCACATTCCCTGCTGGTTTGTCTTCATTCTTATTACAATCAATTACTCCTCTCTTTCTGACTAGAGGTGTAATCCTGCAGGTCACTGGCAAAAGATAACTGAGAAAAATATGACTTATAGTTCTGCCATTAAGAATAAAAAAGAAATGTGTGGGTTGTTTTTTTAAACTTATTTTTCTGAAATGTGCTTTATGATGTTCTGTGTCCTTAAATACGATTTTTTGTTGTTGCTGTTAATCCTCACCTGAGCATATTTTTCCACTGATTTTTAGGGAGAGGGAAAGACAGAGGGAAAGACAGAGAGAAACATCGATGTGAGAGAAACACATTGATTGGTTGCCTCCTGCATGAACCCCAACCAGGGTCTGGGCCAGGGAGGAGCCTGCAACGAAGGTACATTCCCTTGACAGGAATCGAACCTAAGACCCTTTGGTCCACAGGCCAATGCTCTATCCACGAGCTCCGTCATGGAACGAATTAAACTCATAAGTCAAGGCCCCACTGTATGAAAGATTAAAATGTAAAATCTGTTTGAGGCCCTAGCTGGTTTGGCTCAGTGGATAGAGCATTGGCCTTCGGACTGAAGGGTCCCGAGTTCGATTCCAATCAAGGACACATGCCTGGGTTGTGGGCTCGATCCCCAATGGGGGAACGTGTAGGAGGCAGCCGATCAATGATTCTCTCTCATCATTGATGTTTCTCTCTTTCCCTCTCCCTTCCTCTCTGAAATCAATAAAAATATATTTAAAAATAAATAAAATAAAATTTGAGAAAAAAAACCTGAACTTGTATGTACATAATATTGACTAACAATAATATGTAATCATTAAATGTAAAAAATTGCAAAGTGTATCTGAAAATGCATATTATAATGAGACATTTTAATATATTCTTTTCAGGAAATGGAAAACAAAATATCAGCATTTTATATCTTAAAAATAGTTACTACAATATTTCTATAAAACAACTACATAAGTGTTAGTTTGAAAAAAGTAAGCACATAGTTTTAATCACATACAATCAAGCATAATTAAAAACTTACTGAGGCCCTGTTGAGTGGCTCAGTTGGTTGGAGCGCCATCCCATACACCAAAAGGCTGCAGGTTCAATCACAATTTGGGGACATACAGGAGGCAACAGATCAATGTTTCTCTCTCACATCAATGTTTCTCTCTCTCTCCCCCTTCCTCTCTCTAAAATCAATAAAAACATATCCTTGAGTGAGGATTAAAATTATATATGTATATATATGTAAAATTATATGTTATTAACTGATTGGGCTCAGCTACAAGTAACAGGAAACACCCAGTCTTCCCGACAGGAGGAAGGTGCTTATTCTCACACGGAAGGACCGGGTCAACACAGCCCCAAAACATGCAGCAGAGAAACAAACTCCATGTTCTTTTCAGTAGCAGCATGTAGATGTCATGGTCAACCAAGGACATATACTAGCACTATTAACAGCATAAGGTATTTCCTATATAATTTAGACCTTGTACAGATGTAATCTAGAAAGAGGGGAATCAGATATAAACATAAAAGTTTGAATCAGTTTCATGGTGGACACAAGACAGAAAATCCAAACTCTGATGGATCTTTGATGTGTAATTTGTGAAGACATCAGTGGAAACTTATACCTAAAAAATGGAAATTACACAGTTGGTGGTGGTTTCAAGTATACTCTTGATTGGAAGGGCAAAGAATTTTTAAAAATGAGGTGTAAGATGGTATGTAGGTACCTCTTTCTCCCTGTGTGGTAGGTCTACAATATGACTAATGTCTTCTTCACTTCTGCTTTCGAAATCTCACTCTATGGGGTTACTAGTAACGTCTAATGGAACTACAAAGGGCATAGATTCTAAAAATCTAGTTCCTAACACTACCCACAGGGGTGATATTTCCTATTCTATTTTCTTTTTCTATTTATTACAGGTTTCTCTTCTTAAATAAAAATCTATTCACCAAATGCAAGTCAAATAAAACAACAGCAAAGGCTGAAATATGAAAATAATTCACACGAAACTAAAATCTTTCATAAACTTGACACACTTAAAAATTTATTCTGTTTAATTAGAATGAAAAATGGAAATAGTATCTAATACCCATCACCCCACACAAGGAGTTTTGTCAGTATGAAAGAGAGAATATGTTTATCAAGGAATAGAAATATCCAGGAACTATCAAAAAACCAGTAGGAAAATCCCAAATACCAAACTGTCTTTTTTCCAATGGCCCCTTAACATGAAACAAAACATTATTAAAAGTTAAACTTAATTGCATATTAGAAATAAACTTGAATTCACCCATGGATCTAACAAGCTTCAAAATGTAGAAACAATGTTATTAACTGATGATAATACAGAAAAAGGTCTTCCTTGATTAGCAATGAAATCATCAAACACAAGTCAAAATCTTGTTAAAAGTCCTTATGAACACTCTGATATTATACCTCACAGTCCTTGATGGTTTGTGCTCATTATTAGAATTCATTATTTATTACCTATTAATGTTATATAATTATTTAAAGACAAATTCTAAAATTATTTCACCTCATTATTTCTAAAAGTAACTGACACTTAAAGAACTTGAGTTTGAAATGTGCAGGTCCATTTTTCTGCAAAATTTAAAACGTGGACCTATGCAGTTTCAAACTTGGGTTGTTCAAGGATCAACTGTATTTTCAATCTTTGGTTTGGTATTCATTTATGAAGAGGGCTAGCTTAGGTTACACAAAAATTTTCAACTGCATGGAAAACAGGTTCCCTTAACTCCTGAGGTTTCCAAGGATCAACTGTAGCATAAATCCCATGTCCAACTATGCACTTAAAAAACTGGTAAACATAATTTACTTACTATTTTAAATATTGAAAGTTTTCTAGAGCATTATAACTAAACTAGAGGCCCAATGCACGGAGATTTGTGCAAGAATAGGCCTTCCTTCCCCTGGCTGCTGGCACCGGCTTCCCTCTGGCACCTGGGACCTGGGCCTTCGCTCTGGCCGCCGCCTCTTGCCTTCGCTCCGGCCTGGCCGCTGCCATCTTTGTGTCAATTTGCATATTCCCTCTTTATTGGCTATGGGCACTGCCATCTTTGTCGCAAAGTGATGGTCAATTTCCATATTCCATCTTCATTAAATAGGATTATGTCTATCCTTCTCATGTTATTTGCATTTTTATTTCTTTTCAGTGGGAGTTTTCACATGTAAGGATGTGGGCCAACTGAAGTCTTTCCCACACTATTTACATTCAAGAGGTTTTATCCAGTGAGTCCTTTCATGCCTTCGAAAGGAATAGGGATGACTAAAGGCTTTCCCACATTCTTCACATTTATATGGTTTTTCTGTAGTGTGCACTCTCATCATGTGTATTCGAAAAATTTTGTTACAAATAAAGGCTTTCCCACATTCCTTACATTCATAGGGTTTCTCTCCAGTGTGAGTTCTTTCATGTCTTTGTAAGGAACTGTGATCTCTGTAGGCTTTTCCACATTGTTTACATTCATAGGGTTTCTCTCCAGTGTGAGTTCTTTCGTGTCTTTGATATAAACTAAGGCAAGTGAATGCTTTCCCACATTCCTTACATTGATACGGTGTTTTACCAGTGTGCATTTTCATGTGTCTTTGAATGGTGGTGCGACAAATGAAGGCTTTCCCACAATGTTTACATTCATAGGGTTTCTCGCCTGTGTGAGTCCTTTCATGTGTTTGTAAGGAACGATAGTATCTGAAGGCTTTTCCACACTCCTTACATTTATAGGGTTTCTCTGCAGTGTGAGTTCTTTCATGTATTCGAAGATTACTGGGAGTACTGAACACTTTACTACACTTTTCACATTCATAGGGTTTCTCTCCAGTGTGAGATTTTTTGTGTATTTTTAAGAAACTGTTACATCTGAATGCATTTCCACATTCCTTACATTCATAGGGTTTCTCTCCTGTGTGTATCCTTTCATGAATTTGCAAGGAACTGTAATATCTCAAGGCCTTTCCACATTGCTTACATTCATAGGGTTTCTCTCCTGTGTGTGTCCTTTCATGGGTTTGTAAGGAACTATAAAATCTAAAGGCTTTTCCACATTCATTACATCCATAGGGTTTCTCTGCACTGTGAATTCTTTCATGTTTGCGAAGACAACTGGGAGCACTGAATGCTTTGCTACATTTTTTACAGTCATAGGGTTTCTCTCCAGTGTGAGACCTTTCATGTATTTGTAAGGAACTGTAATATCTGAATGCTTTTCCACATTCCTTACATTCATAGGGTTTCTCTCCTGTGTGAGTCATTTCATGTGGTTGTAAGGAACTGTAAGATCTGAAGGTCTTTCCACATTGCTTACATTCATAGGGTTTCTCTTCAGTGTGAATTCTTTCATGTATTTGAAGATGACTGGGATACCTGAATGCTTTATTGCATTTTTTACATTCATAGGGTTTCTCTCCAGGGTGATTCCTTTCATGTCTTTGAAAACTTTTATAATATCGGAAGGCTTTTCCACAGAGTTTACATTGATAGGGCTTCTCTACAATGTGGCTTCTCTCACATGTTTGAAGAAAAACTGAAGAACTAAAGGTTTTCAAACTCTCCTTACATTTATAAGGAGCATCTGCAGTATGTTTGATCATGTGTCTTTGAGGGCTTTTGAGCCACCTGAAGGCTTTCCAACATTCCTCACATTTATTAGATTCTTCTCCATTGTGATTTCTTTCATGTTTTTCAAACAACTGAATATAAATGAAGGCTCTCCCACATCTACTACATTTATATGGTTTCTCTCCATATTTCTGATTCTCAGAGGTCTTGTGTCTAGTTTGACATTTGATGTACCTATCATGGAATGAATGATGCATGAAGACTTCACCACACGCACTGTATTCCCATGGTTTTGCTCCAGGAAGAGATTTCATCAGATTGAGATTTGGAATAAGGGTTAAGTTTTCTCCACATTGACTATCCTCCTTCCTTTTGCAGCTCCTCTCTACCATTTGACTTCTGCAAAAAATAAGAAGCACATTATTAATTTCTTTGTTAATAATTTTATACTTATTGGAAGAATATTTGGACTACATTTTTATGATTTACTGCTAAGTATAGGTTTACTGTCTTGTACAAATTGTTGGACACTGAATACACCAAAATTTCTGCAAGACAACTTCAGCTTTGCTATTATAAAAAAAATAACCTTCATATTTAGCTTCATGAATGCTTTTTGCATGTAAACTATTTTTGCAAACACTACACATCTACATCACATATAAAAAGTACTTTAATAAAAAATTTCTGAGAAGTAATTTGAAGCAGGGGTAGTTTAGATTGATTTTTTTTTCATTTGTTTTAAATATATATATTTTTTATTTCAGTGAGGAAAGTAGCGGGAGAGAGAGATAGAAACATCAATGATGAAAGAGAATCATTGATCAGCTGCCTCCTGCACACCCCCTACTGGGGAATGAGCCCACAACTTGGACATGTGCCCTGACTGGGAATAGAACTGTGACCTCCTGGTTCATAGGTTGATGCTCAACCACTGAGCTGGGCTGGGAAAATTCTTCTAAAATTTTTATAGCATAATTGTTTTCTCATCTGAGACGCTGCTTTCTATTGTGAATGTTACTCACCTATGTTTACTCCCCTGGTTTTTGTACTGATTTTCAATTTCGTGATCTTCCCATTTTCCCCCTAAAATTCAGACCAAGAAATAGAAATAGGATTCCAAAGTATTAGAAATTGTAGAAAAATTATTAGATTCTAGTTCTATAATGAGCTGTGACTATGCCTAGTTTATTTATCAATGTCCTCTATTCCTACATTACATGTTAGCACAATGTTGACGGATAAGAAACACTTATCCTTCAGATGAGGAAGTAAAGGGTAACTTGTCAACCTTACCTATGGAGGCCAGGTTGCTGAAGGTTTCCCTCATCACATCTTTGTAGAGTTTCTTTTGTAAAGAATCCAGTAAGGCCCACTCCTCCAGACTAAAGTTCACAGCCACATCCTCAAATGTCACTGAGTCCTAAAACATCACAAATACATGTACAGTAAAAATTTATGAGACGGACTGCACTGAACACCTAGACTTCATTTACAGGGAAGTTACATATGATTCTGTCATCTCCAAACATTTACTCTAAGACTTCGTCATCAGAAACTTACACTTTGTCCACAATTACTTTCTCATAAATTTAATGCCATCACGAACACCTGGAAATTATTTACACATTGTTACCATAATCCATTATATTTTATGTATTTCCTCTAATGGAAGGGTTCAGAGCATGTTGGGAATAGAAAGAAATGCTACAGAAATGAAACGAATATTGTATTATCATTTTAAGATGATAAATTCCTTGGGGAAAAAAATTTTTTTAATATATTTTCACTGATTTCAGAGAGGAAAAGGAGAGGAAGATTGAAATAGAAACATCAATGATGAGAGAGAATCATTGGTTTGCTGCCTCCTGGAAGCCCCCTACTAGGGATCAAGCCCACAACCCAGGCATGTGCCCTGACTGGGAATTGAACCATGACCTCCTGGTTCATAGGTCAATGCTCTATCACTGAGCCACAGCGGGCAGAAAAAAACAAAAAACCTTTTAATCTTTTTTCCTTATTACTCACCACTTACAGTACTCCATGAGGCATCGGGTTAAATGTACATAAGATTTCTGGGAATAAATACATACTAAATAAACATATTTGCTTTTTGTTCTATTGCCATCATTAAACATGAGTCCAGAAGGCCTATGACAATGCTAACTTTAGCAAGGTCCAGGTAGTCATATCATCTTAAAGTTCTCCAGATCATTAAAAGTCATCAGATGTAGCTGACTGAATAACATTCATATAGACCAACACTGCTTTTTTCTTGTGTAATATTTATTACAGACTTATTTTTTCCTTTCCCTCTCTGTCCAATATGATGGCCTAGAAAATTAGTCTGGTACCACCACCTATCTATGGGGATATAGTCTGAGATATGTATTGTTAGGCAATTTCATCATTGTGGGTACATGTAGAATGTACTTTCACAAATCTAAATGGCATTGCCTACCAAATACCTAGGCTATATGGCATAGCAGATTGCTCCTAAACTACAAACCTGGACAGCTTGTTACCGTACTGAATACTACGGGCCATTGTAACACAAGGCTATTATTCACATATCTAGATAATGCTCTCCCCTTTTGTCATTTCCAAGCTCCCCTGTGTAGGGAAGACTGCACCACAAGATACCCCCAGCACACCTACATAAGGCCACTCTTTCAAAATGTGGTGATGTAGCTGGTCTATCTACTACATAGAAACAAACATGAAGAGATAGACAAAATGAGGAGAAAAAGGATTATGCTATAAGCAAAATAAAAAGTCAAAACCCCAGAAAAAGAACTAAATGAAATGGAGACAAGCAATCTACCAGATAAAAAGTTGAAAGCAATGGCTACAAAGTTGGTCAATAAAATTGGAGAATAAATAAACTCAGGGAAAGCCCCAACAAAGAGATAGAAAATATAAAAAAAGAACCAATCAGAACTAAAGAATATAATAATTGAAAAGAAAAAAATACACTAGAGGGAATTAATAGCAGATTAGATGATGCAGAAGAGTGAATCAGTGAACTGAAAAGCAAGGTAGTGGAAAACCCTAACTGAAACAGAAAAAAGAAAAAAGAATTTCTGAAAGTGAAAATAGTTTAAGGGACTTCTGGGACAACATCAAGTGTGCTACCATTCTCACCATAGGGGTCCCAGAAGAAGAGAGAGAGAGGAACAGAAAACCTATCTGAAGAAATAATAGCTGAAAACTGCCTAACCTGGTGAAGGAAACAGATATCCAAGTCAGAAAGCATATAGGTCCCAAAAAAGATGAACTTAAAGAAACCCACAAAACACATAATTAAAATGCTAAAAGTTAAAGACAAAGATAATTTTAAATGTAGCAAGAGAAAAGCAGTTTAAAATAACGTGTATCTGGAATAAATTAATTAAGAGACATACACATGCACAAAGATGTGAAATATAATGTTAAAAACAATATAAGGGGGGATGAGTAAAAAAATGGTGCTTTTAAAATAAGTTGGATTTAAGCAACTATTAACTTAAACTACTATTATCATCGGGTGTTATATGTGAAATTCATGGTAGCCATAAACCAAAAACCTGTACACAAAATAAAACAGGTACACAAAATAAAGAGAAAGGCATCCAAACATAACACTACAGAAAGTCATCAATGTACAAAGGAAAAGAACAAGAGAAGAAGAAAGAAATAGAGAAGAACTACAAAAACAACCAGAAAACAATTAATAAAGAAGCAATAAGTGCATACCCATCAATAATTACTTTAAATGTAAGTGACCTAAATTCTCCAATCAAAAGACACAGAGTGGCTGAATGAATAATAAAAACAAGAGTCATACATATTTGCTTATAAAAATTACTTCAGCTATAAAGACACACACAGACTGAAATTGAAGGGAAAAATATATTTCATGCAAATAGCAATGAAAAGAAAGCTGGTGTAGGAATACTTACAAAATACACACAAAATAGACTAAAACAGTCTCTAATAAAAGCCGAAGAAAGGCATTACATAATAATAACATTTATGCATCTAACATAGAAATGCCTAAGTACATAAAGCAAAAATCACTCACTATAAAGGGAGAGATTGACAGTATGACAATAACAGGAGGAGGCTTTAACAACCCAGTTACATCAATGGATACATCATCCAGACGACCAACATGAAAACACTGGCTTTAAAAGACACATTAGATCAGATGGAATTAATAGATATTTACAGAAACATTCCATCCAAATATAACAAAATACACATTCTTTTCAAGTGCACATGGAATATTTTCCTGGAAAGAGCACACATTAGACCACGAAATAAGTCTTAGTATATTTAAGAATTTTTGAAATATCAAGAATTTTTTTGTATTGAAATATCTTTTCTGATGACAACAGTATATAACTAGAAATTGATTATAAGGAAAAAACTGAAAAAAAACACAAATATATGGAAGCTAAATAACATGCTCCTAAATAATCAAGAGGGTCCTGAAACCAAGATGGCGGCATAGGTAAACACCTGAAATTGCTGCCTCGCACAACAACTTCAAAAATACAACTAAATGACAAAACGGACATCATAAGGCTGGCTGAGAGGAAATTCTACAACTAGAAGGAAAGAGAAAAGCACACTGAGACTCAGAGAAGGTGCCGAAGTAAAGTGCAGAGGTACGGAGGCGCACGTGGAAAGGGCTGGCAACTGAGGACACGGTTGTCTTTTTCAATTGGGAGGGAGTCTCAAGCTCCCGACTGCTCTGAACTCCATTTCCAGGAGAGTCTCTGGGGACCCAGACTCATACAGGGAGAAACTGGACTGTCTGGCCTCGAGCGGAACTCGAGGGCGGCTTTCTCTCAGAGGTGCTTGCAGCGATTACTGGGACACTGAGACAAGGGGCCTCTTAGGGCAGGACTGAGGAGCAGCCATAGCTGCTTGCTCCACCCTGTTGATCCCCCCGAGACCCCACCCCACCCAAGCTGTGTGCAGAGGCTTTTGCATATAAAAGCCCTAGCCGTTTGTAATTTGAAAATTACCTAACTAACTGCAGCTGGGTCAGAGAGACCAGAACTTCCAAAAGAAGGCCCAAGGCCCCACAGCAGCTTGCATTGCTTCACAGCTGGGCCTCATCTGGGCACCTCCAACCCCAAACAAAGATGAGGAATCTGCAGATCTCTCCATAGCTCCTGCTGGGTAGCCTCAGGCAGAGGCTAAATTAGCACCTCCTTAGAGATCCAAGAGCCAGTGTACCCAGTGGTCAGAGTGGGACCATCCAGATTACAACTCCTCAGATCCATAAGGGACACACTCAGGGGGCAGACTCAGTGAGCACCAAAGCCCCACTGAAGCAAGTCTTGCTCCAGAAGGGTGTCTCCAGCACCGAAGTTCTCCCACTGCAGACACAGTTAATTCTCACAGCCAATTGGCCTGGAGGTCAATTCCTCCCAGTGATACCAAGTACAATCAAGGCTTAACTACAACAAGACTGTGCACAAAGCCCACAAAGGGGTGCACCAGAGTGTCCACCTCAGGTAATTGGGGAGGCTGAGCCACTGGGCCCTATAGGTCACCTAGCACAGAAAGCCACTCTATCAACACAGGGAAGCATAAAAAATGTGGAGACAAAGAAACAGGTCACAAATGACAGAAACGGAGGAAAGCAAACTACTGGATATAGAGTTCAAAACCACACTTTTAAGGTTTTTCAAGAACTTTCTAGAAACCGCTGATAAATTTAGTGAGACCCTCAAGAAATCTAGTGAGACTCTCGAGGTTATGAAAAAGGACCAACTAAAAAGTAAGCATACACTGACTGAAATAAAGAATATTATACAGAGTTCCAACAGCAGACTAGAGGATCCCAAGAATCAAGTCAAAGATTTGAAATACGAAGAAGCAAAAAACACCCGACCGGAAAAACAAAAAGAAAAAAGAATCCAAAAATATGAAGATAGTGTAAGGAGCCTCTGGGACAACTTCAAGTGCACCAACATCCGAATTATAGGGGTGCCAGAAGATGAGAGACAGCAAGATATTGAAAACCTATTTGAAGAAATAATGACAGAAAACTTCCCCTACCTGGTGAAAGAAATAGACTTCCAAGTCCAGGAAGCGCAGAGAACCCCAAACAAAAGGAATCCAAACAGGACCACACCAAGAGACATCATAATTAAAATGCCAAGAGCAAAAGACAAAGAGAGACTCTTAAAAGCAGCAAGAGAAAAAACGTCAGTTACCTACAAGGGAGTACCCATACAACTGTCAGCTGATTTCTCAACAGAAACTTTGCAGGCCAGAAGGGAGTGGCAAGAAATATTCAAAGTGATGAATACCAAGAACCTACAACCAAGATTACTTTATCCAGCAAAGCTATCATTCAGAATTGAAAGTCAGATAAAGAGCTTCACAGATAAGAAAAGGCTAAATGAGTTCATCACCACCAAA